AAAGTACTTGCTGACAAACTTTGCATCTTAGTTTGATCATGGGAACCCACATTGTAGCAGAGAACTGAATTCTGCAACTTGTCCTCAGATCTCTATACTGATACCCATATGTGCACACACATATACAAATATAGATAAACAAATAAATGTAAGGGGGACTGGGTATGTATCTTATATAAGCACACTTGCCTAATGTGTACAACTCTAGGCTTAATCTCCAATACTGAAAAATAGATAATAGCATTACTAGGACATTATAAGACAATTGTCCTCTTTTCTAAATAACTTTTTCTGACTCTAAAAAAATGAGTCAGATTTAACCCAGTGCTGGATGTAGTGGTGCATGCCTAAGGATACATCATACTTAGCAGGCATTTGATGTGTATTTTGCTGAAATTAATAAACAGTATGAACAAAAATTTTAAAAATATACTTGGAACCCTCCATTTTTTTTAAAAGATTTTATTTATTTATTATGTATACAACATTCTGCTTCCATGTATATCTGCACATCAGAAGAGGGCACCAGATTTCATAACGGATGGTTGTGAGCCACCATGTTGTTGCTGGGAATTGAACTCAGGACCTATGGAAGAGCAGTCAGTGCTCTTAACCTCTGAGCCATCTCTCCAGCCCCCGGGACCCTCCATTTTTAAATCAAGTTAATTCTAATTCAATTTTTTAAAAATTAAGGTGCACAGCTGGGTGGTGACAGCCCACACCTTTAATCCTAGCACTTTGGAGGAAGAGGCAGGTGGATCTCTGTGAGTTTGAGGCCAGCCTGGTCTACAGATCGAGTTCCAGGACAGCATCCAAAGCAACACAAAGAAACCCTGTCTCAAATTAACAAAAACAGAAAACAAACAAAAAATTAAGGCGCACAGTTTTCTTAGAATTTATTAAGATTTATTTTTAATGATTTGTACGTGCATGTGGTTCTGTATGTTAACATGAGCACAGGTACGCTCAGAAAACAAAGACAAAGAAGCCATCAGATCCTCAGAACTAATCAGTGGTGGTTTTGAGCTACCTGACATGGATGGCTGGGCATCTAGCTAAGGTCCTCTGCAAGAGCAGTCTAACACAGCCTTAGCTACTGAGCCATCTTTTAGCCCACAATTAATATTAATATTTAGGTCTATTTTATTTTTTTCTATCTACTGTCTGTTTCCCATCTCATAAAGGTATAAAAATTGAAACTTTCAGTTATACTAATATGGTTTAAGACTAATAATAGTAAAATGATTTAAAAAAATCTTTCAATAACCAGTATCTAGTTCTTATATCTTATCTTACTCCTAGCATATATTCCTAAAAACAGGATTTTGGGGGGGGGCAGGTGGTGGCACATGCCTTTAATCCCAGCACTTGGAAAGCTGAGGCAGGTGGATCTCTGTGAGTTCAAGGCCATCCTGGTCTACAGAGTGAGTTCCAGGACAGCTAGGGCTGTTAAACAGAGAACCCCTGTCTTGAAAACCAAAACAAAACAAACAAACAAACAAACAAAAAACATTCTAGGATGGAAATATAGCTCAACATAAGAACACTTACTTGGCATGCTGAGGGCCCAGTAAAACCTCCCTCCAAAACAAACAAACAACAACAAAAAAAACCCAAACTAAAACATACGCATTATTTTGGTTATATACATACTACACTTAGCCATGTGGTCACACCATGCAAAGACAAGTGACATCACCTAAGAGCTCAAATACAAGTAAAAAAAATTGTATTGAGTAGACAGTTGAATATTAGCAACCACAAATTTCATTTTTGGTAGTCTTTACAAGCAAGGTGTGGTGGCATACCTGTTATCTCAGCACCTGGAAGGTAAAAGCAGGAGTTCAAGGATAGCCTTGGCTACACAATAAATTTGAGACCAAACCTGTATTACCCTGTCTCAAAAACAAACCAAAAAAAGAGTGGGGAGATCAAGATGACACAGTAAAGATGCTTACCATACAAACCTGGCAACCCAAGTTCAAACCCTAAAACTCATGCAGCAGGAGAAAAAAACCAACTTCCACACTTTGTCTTCTGTGACCTACACACACAGCCATATAAACTTAAAAAAAAAATCTCATTCACTCAAGAGATTGAGATAGGAAGATCATGAGGGCTGAAGTTAGCCAGCTATGCAGCACAATCTAGTCTCAGAAAAATTGGTTATAGCATGGTGCATACCTGTAGCTACTTGGGATGCTGATGTAGAATGAATGATCAAAGAGTCTGCAAGTTGCCTGGGCAACCAAGCAAGAACCCATCTCAAAAAAATAAAGTAAAATAAAATAGGCAGTAAATAAACATAAGCTTATCACTCCTCAGCCTACTGGCTAAAATTAAGTACATAGCTGGACATGGTGACACATGTCTTTAATCCCAGCACTCCAGAGACAGGAGCAGCAAATCTGGAGTTCAAGACCAGCCTGGTTACATAGTGAGTTCTAGGACAGATGGCTATGTAGACAGACCCTGTCTCAAACCCCCACCACCACCACCACCACCACAAAAGAGAAGCATACAACCAGATTTTAAAACTCAAAGATCTGAATCAGGTCAAATCCTGACTCTTGCTGGATGTGGGAGTTCACATCTATATCCTAGTCAGAAGCTAAGAAAGGAGATGTCAAGTTCAAGGCTAGCCTGGACTGTGGTATAGAAATCCTGCCTCAAAAAATTAACAAAAAAAGAAAGAAAAATCCTAGCACTATCATTAACTGAATGTAACTGTGTACGTTATATATTGTCTATTTCCTCATATGCAAATTAAGAACCATATAATTTTCCTTATATGGTACCTACAAGGTTTATTTTTAGAATATATAAGGAAGCATTTTAGTACAGTGGACAATGAGTCCTCAACATACCATAGGCACTACTGTGATTCTGGAAGTAAAAGCATATATTCCAGGACATACAATAGCCTGATGTTCAGAACTACAGCAATTTGGTAGGGCTCAAATATAAAAAGCAAATGGAGGTCAGTGAGGAATAGTCTAGAAAAATAATAAAAGCAAAATCCTAAATAATCTTGTATGCTATGAAAAATCTTTTTTTTTCTTCTTTTTTAGAACTATTCAACAGCACAGTCTAGCAGCAATCCTATTACCTCAACCTCCACAGTTCCACGACTACAAGTGTAAGCCACCAAGGCAGCTGAAATGAATAGTTTTGGTAAAAGAGAATTTACTCTGATGGCAAGGTAAAGATCTGGAGACACAAGATTAGAGGCAGACAGACAGCTATAGTACAGGTGAAAGACAGTTTCATTTATAGCAGAAGTGAGAACACAGAAAAAGGAATGAGTTAGATGTTAGAAGTTGCAGCAGTGTGAGCTATGAGGTCTCTGACTTGAATTAGGGCCCAAAGCCATGTATTTAATGTCCAGCACACACCCCCCCACACACACACAGAGGAAGAAGGGATGGGGTGGATGGAGGAAGGAAATAATCATTTCAGTTTTAGAACTGAAGAGGCTGAAATACAGAAAACAAGCAATAGATAGTTGGAATCTGGGAATGGTAGCAGACAGCTGTAATCCCAGCACGAATAAGGTTAAGGTATGAGAGTGTAAGACTAGCCTGAGATACACAAGGAGCACCAGGCCAGCCAAGGACTACACAGAAAAAATTTAAATAGCTTAAATAAGTGGGTATATCAGGCTGCTGATGTATGTATCTCAGTGTTAAAAAGTAGTATAATCCTGTAATCCCAGATACCTAGGAGATTGAGGCAAGAAATTCAAAGCCTGCTAGAACTGAGTTCAAAGCCAGCCTGAGCAATTTACAGAGACTTTTATCTCAAAAAATAAAAAGGAAAGAGGGCTTGAATCCTTAGCACCACAAAGAAAATGATAAAAAAAAAGAAAGAAAGACAACTGAGAGCCAGGCATCATTGCTCATGCCTATAATCTCAACACTTGGGGAAGCTGAAATAGAATTGCTGTAAATCCAGGGCAGCCTAGGCTACACTCACTGAGTTATAAAACAGCCTGGATAATACTACAGTATGAAATGGTATCTTAAAGAAAGAAAGAAAGAAAGAAAGAAAGAAAGAAAGAAAGAAAGAAAGAAAGAAAGGAAAAAACAAAGGCCAGACAGTGGTGGTGCACGCCTTTAATCCCAGCACTTGGGAGGCAGAGACAGGTGGATCTCTGTGAATTTGAGGCCAACATGGTCTACAAAGTGAGTTCCAGGACAGCCAGGGCTACATAGAAAAACCCTGTCTGGAGAAAAAAAAAAAAAAAAAAAAACTAGGAATATAGCTCATTCACAGAGCACTGTCCTGGAATGTACAAGACCCTAGGATTCACAATCCCCAGCATGGATGTTCAACCAACCAAAATTCATTTTAGTTAAAAAAAAATTTTTTTTGCTAGAGTGTGTATGCGTGTGTTTTCTGTGTCCCATAGTATGCACGTGCAAGTCAGAAGACAAC